TTTATGACAATAACTTAGGGGTTGAAGGAATAAAAGCGATAGTAGAGGCCCTTAATGTGAATACTGTTGTAAATTCTCTAAATATTGGAAAGAATGAAATTAGCTTGGAAGGAATGAGAGTGATAGCAGATAACCTTTGCAAAAATATTGCTTTGACTTCTTTATACATGAGTTCAAACTATCTTGACTTTGAATCGAGCAAATTATTATCGGAAGCTCTTTGTAAAAACACTACTCTAAAATATTTAATCCTTAATGATAATCAGATTGATTCTAACGGAACGGAAATGTTAGCAGAAGCCCTTTTCAAAGATACTAATTTAACTTCTTTGGATCTCAGAGATAATCTAATCACTTTTAAGGGAGTAAAAGCGCTAGCAGAAGTACTTAAAACAAATACTACCTTGACTTCTTTATATATTGGCAGTAATAGGCTTACATTTTTTGGGGTAGAAGCATTATCGCATGCTCTTTATGTTAATAACACTTTAACTCATTTAGATCTTTCTTGTAGTCAACTTTGTTTCGAAAGAATGGAAGTATTCACAAAAGCTCTTTGTATGAACACTGCCTTAGCTCATCTGGATCTTTCCAAAAGTAAAATTTCTATTACAGAAGCACAGTTATTAGCAGAGGTTCTTTACAAAAATACTGCTTTATTTTATTTTAATCTTTCTTATAATCAACTTAATTACGACGGGGTAGAAGTATTAGTAAGAGCTCTTTCTATAAACAATACTTTAGCCTATTTAAATGTTTATTATAATCAGCTTAGCTATGATGATTGCCAAATATTAAAAAAAATGGCTTACAAAAATAACACCAAAATTTTATTATTAATTGGCAATTAAAATTTTAAACTTTATAGTAAATTAGTAAGACTAAATATTACATTGATTTATTAAATAAAATACATAAATTAAATTTAACCAATTATAATATTGTATTACTTTTTTACGCAAATTCATTTAACAATCTATGTAATTTCGTTTTTACTTAATTAAGATGATATCCTTACCAAACGAGTGCCTTTTTAAAATATTTAATAATCTTAAAAATTATAGATTCTTATTTTCATGCCTTCCTGTAAACTGTCAATGGCGCAAATTATTCTTCCAATATTATGTTGGAACTTTATTGCATTAAAATAACAAAAAGCTTATGAGAATATACCTTTTATCATTGAATAACAAAGAAAAAATGCCATTAATTTAATTAAATATATTACTTCCAAATGGTTCAAAACTATTATTTGAATGCACACCATTCAACGACTATAATTTAAGAAGATGAAATAAAAGATAATCTGCCCAGTGAAGATGTATTCAAAAATTACTACTCAAAATATCTCACGGTATATAATAATTCCTGCCACCTTATTTTAGATGTAGACATATGTTAGTGCCGTAACTGACATTAACTAGAGTAGCGATCTGGATGACTATATCCGATCTGGTGCAGATATTCTTTACAGCTGTTTTTATAATTCCTGGGACTCCTGTAAAAAATTAGCCGAATGATTTTCGGCCAATCCGTTAATTTATTATTTCGGTGTATTTTTACATGTAATACAGTAATAGTAACGGTAAGATAATTTTATCATTATAAGGTAGATATGCGATGCTGTCGCACTAAAATCAGGAACGTAGACAACGATATTTATAATTATGTATGCCAATTCTTACATTATATCATAAAGCTTTTGTTTAGGCTTAGCATTACGACCTATTCTTGAAATTTATTTTGTTATAATATAGAGTTTCGCATTATTATTTCATCAACTGACTTAGTTTGTAAATCGTGTAGAGCAATTTTAGAAAATATATAGATCGCCAAATCGATATGAATAAATTAACAGTATTGTAACTAAATATTGCATATATAGGTTGTCTGCAACCCCGTTCCAACTTACAATTAAATATGATTATATAGTAATATAAGAATAAACCCCTGTTCGGAAAATCGACACCATTCCGAACAATTTTAGAACAAAAATTTTATATTAGTTACCTGATTTCATATTGAATCTATTATGCCGAAATCAATAGCTTAACCGGATCGGCCGAAAATCATTCGGTCAGGTGTCCCAGAATTTATGAAAACAGTTGTAAGTTACCCAAGTTCATGAAGTTTTATTACATATTTATATTTAGCAGTACTAAGTATAAAGAATATTATATTATATACTGTATTTATATTAATCTTAGTATTTAATTGAGATATCACATTAATATTCACATACTACTTATTCGCATAAATTTATAAAGAATTTATTAATCTAAATATTTATTGTCCGAAGCGTAGCGAGGACTTAATTGTTTAAGTAAAATTGAATGCACATTTATGCAATGTTTGTCGGATACAACCAATTAAAATCGAGAATTGGCGGGCCCCGTGATGATCTACTTTTAGACTTTTAGTGCAACAAATAAAATCTAGGGCCCGTGATGATCCACAGTTAGTGCAACAATGCATACGCATCAATACCAATACGATTTATTGGCTTCGGACTTTTATCAGATTCTGATTGCCTAGTATTTATGAATATTTGCCATTTAATAAGTAATTAAATAAACTACTCAACTCCATGAATGTCTGCAATTATTCGTTTTAATTAGCTGTTGAGTACAAAAATTATATTTATAAATAAAAATCCAATTTAACTAATGATTACGTGTATAAATCTCGTTGCAGAATCTATTTTACTACCCGAATGACCCTGGTGACCCACCCGCGGGTGACCCGTTGTGGGATTTCTTTTACCACCCGGGTGACCCGGGTGACCCACCCGCGGGTGACCCGGGTTGGGATTTTTGTGACGGGTCGGAACACTAATGTTATACCAACATTTCGACATGTAAAATCATAGATTTTTAACATCCAATCAAATGCAAGATTTTGCGAACTCGCCATTCTCGATAGCAGAAAACCATAGACTCCGTAATGCTTCCTGGTATAGTTTAAAAAAACTTTTAACATATAAATTTACATGTAAATCGCTTAATAATATATAGTAAAATAATCGTCACAATAACGAATAGTGTTTAATAAAATTTACTTTTGTAAATGCTTATAAATTTTCTGCCACTTTAATGTGATAACCTGGAGTCTAGATGCAAATTCTAAGCGTAATCTATTATGACTTCTCACTACAAGATAAATCATATTGAATAAAATTCATCAAAGGCTTTTTATGGTCGACATCTCTACTATAATGACTCCATAGCCATAAACATTATATTAACAGCTAGGTAAGGAGTTTATATTACAACTTCTGGTGCGAGATAAAATATAACCCTATCAAAAAGATCTTCAAATTTTAAAAATTATGATTTTTATTATTTTCATATTGTGATACTAACAAACTTTTTTTTTCAATTCATATAATTACTATATACCATATAAATTACATGAATAGAACTAGATAATTTCATATAATATATATGACCAAATATTTTGTATTTTATTTTATTTTTTTATCTAACCATTCATCCAATTGTAATAATAAGATTCGAGTAAACAATCAGTCTCTGAATTATTATATTAGAGTGACTAATTTAAAATATTATTTGAAATATCTGCACGCATACTATGTTTAGTTCTATTCATTTTTCGTACTTTATGCTTGTGAATTTCTTGGGAATCATTCTCTTTATTGGCACCATTTCGTCATTTGGCATTTGTCTTTCTTCGTTTTACAGATTCAGATTGAATTCGAATCACTGAACCACTTTTAATACGTGCCAATGGATCTGGGTTATACTTATGATTATAAGAAAGATAGTTAATCCTAGTTGTGGACCACAGTTTTTATGGTCATTACTAATTTCTTGTAAAAGGTTATTGAAAGACAAATCATCCAAACTCGCTTCTTGATTTTCTGATTCACTAAAATAGCTAATAGTAATACAATTTAAGTTATACAGTATACGTATGTATGTATGTACATAAAAAAAAATGTTACCTATTTAGACAAATCTGAATTGATCATTTGCGCTAACTAGCGATGTTACCCAAACTATTTGGGACATCCCAAACTATGTGATGAATAATATCGCATCACCTCCTGAAATCGTATGATGCTATTCATCACATAGTTTGGGACGTCCCAAATAGTTTGGGCAGCATCGCTAGCGCTAACCTTATTTTTAGGCATTATTAAGATATTTTTGCCGGTAGAAATTTTGTCTATTTTTTTTTTTAGATCTTGAAAAAACTACTTTAAGATCTTTTGAAATTACATTATTGGATTTAAATACGAAATCTAAGCCATAAGACAATAATAATAATAAAAATTGTAAAAGTATTTGCAAACTCAATTAAAAATCAACCAATCAGCGTGAATTAACGCGAACTTTAACCCTTGCAAAATTAACCAATCATTATGATTTCTAATACTGTTTCATTAATCTTAAACCGAGAAATTATTGCCTATAAAAATTTATTAGAAAAAAGTATTAATGAGTTGATTTTTTTGTTTATTAAAAAGAAAAGAGGTGTAAAATTATTTAGCAATTCAAGTACCAGTAAGATGTTGCCTTCTCCACAATTTCAAATCAACTTCTGCCTCCATAATTTTTTTTCGTCTAATGTTCGTGTATACATTTTTATTAGCCCTTGATTGAACAGTTTTCCAATAAATATTCTTCAAAAATTGCAAATCTTCGAAATCATCTTCACCAAAAGAGTCACCAATAACTTTGATATACGTTAAATATTTGGGTTCACGGTCAATATACTTCTGTTGTACTTTGGGGTTGAATCTAACCCGACGATTTGTCTGCCATGGCAAGGTTATTTGATCCTGATTATGACAAAATATATTTCCGTTACAGTAGTTAGTTACAAATGTATATTAAAGGCGTAGTCGTTTATCATTATTTACCGTGAAATTTTGGGTGGGTTCAATAATTTCTGATGGTTCAATAATTTGTAGTTGGGCCTATTACAGTAAACAAAAGGGTTATCGGATTAAAATCGTTAGTCTTTTTTCGTTTAGTATGAGTGAGCTCTTTCAGATAAGATTTTTGCAATACTTGCTTCTTGATGTTGCTGATGTTCTGGACGTTGCTGCTGTTGTAGTTCTGGACGTTGTTGCTGTTGTAGCCGTTGTAGTTGATGTTGCTGCTGTTGTTGTTGACGTTGTAGCCGTTGTAGTTGTTGCTGCTGATGTTGCTGCTGTTGTTGTTGACGTTGCTGCTGTTGTTGATTTTCCGGACGTTGCTGTTGTTGTTGCTGTCGTTGATGTTCCGGACGTTGCTGTTGTTGTTGCTGTCGTTGCTGTTGTTGCTGTCGTTGATGTCGTTGATGTTGTTGCTGTCGTTGACGTTGTTGCTGTTGACGTTCTAAATGGCCGTCACTTGCAAAGAAAATAACGTGTATCAAGATAGCGACGAGTAACTACAAAAGTAACAAAACACGGTGTTAGATAAAAACGATGCGTATTTGGCTTTAGTTTCTACTTACAGTGAATAACAACATATTTAAATTTTTAGAACGATGAGTTTGAATTTCTTTTATGTTTAATATTTGTTTGTTTAATATTTTGTTTGCTTGTAAGCGAGCTTCAAAATGACGTAATATGTCTAGTTTTTAGAACTTCCAGTAATAAGTATGATCTTTTTATAAGAATCAAAAAAAAAATTTTTTTCAAAACAATAGCTGTATATAAATATTGAACTCCGCCAATAAAAAATCGGGGGGCTATTTGTGTAACCACACCAGAATTTAGAGGTACGTATGTAATTTATTTATGATATACTCTTAACGGCTAATGTTTGTTAAATATCTACTGACTAAGTCGATAAAATAAAAACGGCTTAGCTCAGTCGACTAAGTAATAGTCATGCAAAATTGGATACCAGGAATGTAACAAAATGGATAATATAATTATAATAATTATACCGGAAGACTTTTACAGCATGTATTGCCAACAGATTGTATCTTAGTGCTAGTGTGTCTTAGCATGACTCTGTCGCGCAGCAACTTAATTTTTTATTTAAAAGTTCTTTTATTAGTAATACTTCGACATTCTTTAAATAAAATACATTCTACGTATTTATTCTTTGTACTTTAAACGTTAAACACATCATCTAATGCCTTTTTTTTTACATCTTATGTATATAAAGCAAATAATGTATACTTATCTGATTACTAATTAGAAATATCATGAATTTCAAGCACATAAATTGATAGAAAAAAATTAAGACTAATAGCATTCATGAACTTGATTAGCTTGATTAGCCTATTTTAGTACTTGGTTCTCGAGGCAGTCCGTTTCAAATAAGGAAATGATAATCCGATCACGCATATTAGATCAGCCAATTATTTTTATCATGTAAATAATATCACATGTTGATTAGCCAATAAAATCATAAAATGAAAAGAAACGTTATTGTTAGCAGTCAGCCGTGATGTCGTGCAGATCACGTGTATAAAATTTTTAATATGGGATCAAATGATTGACGCACCTAAATTTTATATGTAAAATTTTGAAAAATTTTGCATTCCAGGTTTATTTAATAATAAAAAATTCGTCTGTTTAATTTCTGGATATTGTTTTCAAATTAT